TAATAGTAGACAGGCAACATCTAGTGTTATTGCTAATCTTGTGGCACACAAATTTTTGGATGCTTCTGTTAAACCTTATACGCCAAAACAAATCAGGCATGATATGAATTTGGAATATGGGATTTCTATGTCGTACAAGAAAGCTTGGGAAGCACAGAAACGTGCAAAGGAAAGGCAGTTCGGATCTGATGCAGAGTCATACCAGAAGCTACCTTCAATGGCTTATGTACTTGAAGAAGCAAATCCAGATTCTACCATAAAACTTGTAACTGCTGCTGATGGTGCATTTCAGTATTTTTTCTTTTCACTAAAACCTTGGCGTGAAGCATGGGAGTTTTGTAGACCTGTACTTATCTTAGATGGCTCGTTCATGAAGGCATATTACAAAGGCACTTTGCTTACGGCCTGTGCTCAAGATGCCAACAACCACATCGTTCCCTTGGCATTTGCAATCTGTGATTCTGAAACCAAAGCATCTTGGCTATGGTTTCTAAGCAGGTTGAGTGGTTCAATCTCTAAGCGAAGTGATATGTATATAGTGTCTGATCGCCACAAAGGCTTAATATCTGCTGCTGCTGAAGTTTTCCCCCATGCTCTTCATGGGTTTTGTGTTGAACACTTGAGGCGTAATTTGATTTCAAAATTCAGAGGTGGTGCCAATGGTCTTGGATGGAAGTTTAAAGCTGCTTATTCAGCAAACACTATGCAAGAACTTGAGGAATATTTGTCAATGTTGGACACAGAAGATGCTAGAATCCGACCTTGGTTAAGTAAAGTTGGTAACCATAGATGGGCTAAGTGTGTTGCTGGTCCACGCAGATATGGCATCATGACATCAAATTGTGCAGAATCGTTAAACAAAGTAAATGTTTGTGCTAGAGAGTATTCAGTTTGTAAATTGGTTGATTTTTTGCGTGAAAGAATGCAACAGTGGTTCACGGAAAGAAGTGAGGAAGCCCTTAAAACATCCACTTTCTTGTCCCCCAAATGCGAGAACCATTTAGTTGCTGTGCAAGCTGAATCCACACGCATGCAGGTTTCAGTTTTTTCCTTTTTCATTAATAGAAGTTGTAACTTATTGCCATAAGTGTTGTTATATTTCCGAATGTATCATTTTATTGCCATCTTTCATTTTATGAATATGACTCTTGGTTTTTGTTTTCTTACATTCGTTATTTGATAACTGTATTTTTTATATGTTTTCTATCAGGTGAAATCAACTTTATATTTCGAGTTTGAAGTTGTGGATCGCTATTGTAGATCTTTTGTTGTTAACCTCAACCACAAGACTTGTACCTGTGGTAGTTTTCAATTGGAACAATTTGTGTGTGCTCATGCAGTTGCTGCTATTCGTGTGCGCCCCCGTTTATCTTGCTATGACTTCATCTCACCATTCTATTCACGTGATTCATGGCTTTCGACTTGGAGTGCTGCTGTACATCCCATTGTTGATCCACAATCATGGTTGGTTCCTCAACATGTTCGTGATCAGATTTGCAAGCCGCCAAGTTGTCTCAAAAGACCTGCTGGACGTCCTAAGAAGACCAGAATTCCTTCTGTTGGGGAGTTTCGTGGATCTGGATCTAAACGACAAAAGTGCTCTCGCTGCCATATTCTTGGGCATAATAAAAAATCATGTCGCAATCCTATCCCTATTTCTATGCAGTGATTATATGTGTTTCTGTTTTTTACTTCCAGTATTTGCTTAACCCTTCATATACAATTTTATCAGTCATACTTGTTTAGTGACAAACAATGTTTCTGCTGTTTTTTTGTTTTGTAATAGAGCACAATAATAATGTTGAAGTATAAATGGCATTCAATTTTGCATTCTGTTTTTGAATTCGTATGTTACCAGAAACATTTGTAATGAATTATACCCAAATTCCATTGTTCAATATGAATTTAAATCAATATGGACACCACAATAACAATTGCAATTAAATAACGAGTAAACATTTGCATAGTTTAACATGAGTATATTGAATCAGTTCAACTTGGAGAAAAGCAACTAAACCAAAAACCAATTCACATAGTTTTAATTGTAAACAAACATAACAAATAATGTCAAATACACATTCTTATTTCTAATAATTTCCAAGGAGTTTTCCACAAACAGCACTCCTTATCTCGTGAGAAGTGGCACTGGCTGCTGGCTTTTCTACATTGCATCGATCAATACGCAGCAGCAAGAAGCGAGCGCGACCGTGTTTGAAGAACACCATTGTTGAACGCTTTGGTATGTCAAAGAACTTCTGGATATCTTCGATCATGGAAGAGCAATCTTCATGGAACACGTTGTCTTCTTCCCCATAACAGATCTGCACCCTTTTCCTTAGGTCCACGTATGCCCTCAAGTAATTTTGACAACTTTCCTATGGAGCAAAGATGCATGACCAAAGTATCATAATGTGAAGATTTGCCTAATTATTGCTCTGTAATATGTACGAAATAAGTAATTGATGTGGTCACCTTTGTTGTTTTGAAGGGTACATATAAATAAGAGATTGGGTTAAACAACTTCTCATAGGGCATGTCTGGAATTGTTGATTTCACTAAGACTGAAAAATGATCTGCGAAATATGTTTTAAAAAAATGCACACATTATTAATATAATAGTCTCATTAAGTATAAATAAAACATTGAACTGCCTGATTGCAAAATCAAATTAAAAAGTAAAAGTAAAAATTGAATCAATAAGTTAATTTCATTTACCTATAAATGCTGTGATGTCAACTTCGTCAACAATGGGTGAATCGTTGCATTTGATTGAGAAACCATCATTTCCGTAAACAAAAGTTTGGAATGTGTTGTTCCCAATATGGCGAAATAAGATATGTTGGCCCAATAGAACATTATTGTCAATGAGGAACTCATCAAAGCCTTTTGTGAAGCAAAATCTGTCTACGTTAACCAGCCACTCCCCACCGCCATGTACAAGAATAGCACGGTGTTCAATGTGCTCAAACAGGTGGCGATGCATGCAGTTAGGTATTATCTGAAATACAATTGCACATGTAGTGTACAAAATAAGAAAACTTTTGACACCATTAAAATTTGTCAATTTTTGCCTAATATCACTTTGGCTAACACAGTACTGCTTTGGCAACCCTAAATTTTTTCACATATTGACTGTTTAAACAAGGTAAAACTTTTAATACATCTTACATATTGAATACTTACTGCTGAATCAACATCACTTATTTGCAAGATGAACCAATTGACAGTAAACTGGTGGACATCAGGAGAGTGTACAGTTAAAGAGCTTGGGCACCCTATGGCATTTCCAAACATTACAAACAGTATAATTTACACACGTTAAAAACAATAAATTCATTACTTCATCACTTACTTGTAGTATTTGTTCTCAATGAGTTCAGGAAGGTATTCAAAGTCTGCTCCAAATGTTTTGTGTCATTGAATTGCATTGGGATGTAGCTATTGAATCCTGTTGCCCTGACAAATAGCTGCCACCCTCTTCCTGTTGAGCATTTTTGTTCTTCATTGTTGCAGATGACATTGGCAATTGGGATTCTTCGTCCATTTATTGTCATCATATAGTATGTATGGATTTTTTTCCCTTCAACACTTGTGGATTTTTCAATAGCAAATCCAGTAAAGATGTCCATTTTAGTTCTGTTCTGTTAAATGAAAAAAAACATAAAAATAAAAATACACTTCATTACAGCAATAAATAAAAATAAAATTTCTAAATGAAGTCCATTTATAGTATACTTTAGGAATTTCTGTTATATTTCTATATATCACAGAATGAAGAAGGTAGAAATAAGTTTCTAATTACTTGTCTAACAATGATTAGAAGTCCAAAAAGAAATGAAGTGAACAGAGTTACCTTGTTTGGCGAGAGAGATGACAGGTTTGGTTGTCTCAAATTGGTGCAGCATGAAGAAACTGCTCTCAAGTGTTGTGGTTCTGGACAGGGTTATGTGAAGAAACTGCTCTCAAGTGCGCTTGAATTCAAAAGAACGTTGGGAGAGGAGAGAATATAATGGGAATTGAAGTAACGGTTGTCCTTGCACCGGTTCTCGCACTATTTTATCTAGTGTTATCTTATTATTTTTGAAATTAAGATGTTTGTTCCATTTCCCAATGTCAGATGGAAATATTGTATGTAATTGTTCAATAAGGTGTTAACAATGGAAATAATTGACATACCAATAATGTTTGCAATGTATTATCATCTTTTTCTTTAACATGTATTAGGACTGCGAGTCCTTTGTTAATATTTTGGACGTTTTTACATTGATTTCAATAAAAACAAATATACCAAAAATACCTTTTTATGTTAATTTCACCTAGCTACTTTGTTTACATTAATTTCATTTTTTCCCAAGCGTAGTGTGTACTTGTTCTTTCAAATATTAAAAATTGTTATTCCTAATTATCATTTTTTTAAGTTAACATGTTTGTTCCACTTCCAAATTTAGGATGGCAATATTTTATGTAATTGCTCAATAACGCTTTGAAAATTGAACTAATTGACATATCAATAATGTTTCGTAATTATGAACTAATTGAACTATTGCTTCCTTTATTCATTATGAAGTTTCTATTTATTCATACATTATTAAAAAAATGGTATATAAATACCAAAAAAATTATTCATACATTATTCATACATTATTATAAATAAATAACTTTCTATTCCTTTTGTTTTCCTGAATGAAAAAATAAACATGGCTTTGAAAAATTATCAAACAGAGCATATTGTTCTGCCAATCAGGAAAATATGTATTTTTGTGACATGGTTAAGTATTGCCAATAAATGCCATCTCTTCAATAGAAATAAGCTGACAAAACAAAGTGATGATAATAGTTGTCATTGTTTAATACTTTTAACTTTTCCAAAGTAACAGAAATAAACACAACCAGAAATGTCAAGCCAAACATACCCACTCGACCCCAATTACATATCCATTTAAGCAAAAAACAGTATTCGTTAACCCCACCATTTTACATATTTCTTTCTATTTTTTTTTTCCCTCGCTCAACCTTTTGTTGCTGTACTCAATCAACTCTAACACCATCTTCTTTCTGAACATCCCCATGCCATCAGCTGTCAGCTCGCATAAGTCCATATCCATCATCAAGAATTCTGCAATTTTGAGTAAATACATTCCACAATTTCCCCTGTAACAAACAACCTTTTTTATATTAGTATTTTTTATGTAATACAATTTCATATATGTAACTTATTAAGTCTTTTACTTACGATGTGTCTTGTTGTGGGCAGTCTGCAACACCCTCAATAAGAATCTCTCTCTTTCCCATTGGCTCTTCATCAATTGCTTCATAGACATTGTGGAAATCGAGAATTTTGGGTAGCATTTTTGTAATACAATTTTTGTATTGCAGAATATCACGTAGTGAGTCGCTTCTTCTCTTGTTTGAGTTGTACACTTTAATCTTTCTTTCCTTGACCACAAAGACCAACAACACCCAATGACTTCCTGTGTTCAATGGCATATAAACGAAGTCACAATCTGCCCAGTGCAGGGAGAAGTTTGTTGCAGTTCCTAGAATGTATTGGGACAGAATTTCTTTGTCTGCTGCTTCTTTGAGTGTGGTCTTTCCATCTAAGATCATGTCATGCTCCCTCTTTATAATTTGAATGAAAAATGGCCCTGTGGTTGAGTACTTTTGCTTCAACTTGAAGTGTACTCTCTTCATTTCCAGATAGTACATCCCGACTTCTACATGCTGCAAAAACAGAGTTCATATCAGATGTTATTAATATATATTTCTTTAATGATTTTATTTGAATAACAGACTATACCGTGTCTTTTAGCCATTGATGGTTTAACCACAGGTCATGCAACCAAGTTTTTGACTCTATCTTCATCATGTCCAAAACAAGCGGTTTAGTGATCAACCTTTCATCATCATTCTTGTATCTTCTAGTCTCATTTTTCTCTTTCTTTGGAACTTTCAAAAGCCCAATCTGGAGGTATTGGCTGAATAGTTTGGCTTGCTGTTCATCAATAGGATCGGTTGGGTCTTCTGAGAAGGGTCCATAGATCACTTTACGTGGTGGTAAGAATTCCTCTTCTTCTATTCTTTTGGCCTTTTCCTTCCTTCTTCTTTTTGCGTCAGCTGTCTGCCCTGCTGGTGTGTACCTGACAGGAGATTTGGCAGTCCTCTTTGCTCTTTGAGTTTGTGTAGATGTTTCCTTATAAGTTTCATCAAAAACAAACATTGATCAGTCACCCATAAGTCACTATTAGTTACATTGGCAAAGTATAATTGACATTAATATAATATTTATAACTTTTCACTGAAGTTATTGTCATCACCTGCACTTTGCTTCCAACTTTTTGGTTCACCTGTTCCTTCTTTTCTCCAAACACTTGTCTTTCAATCATGTCTACATTCATACACAAATCTCTAATGAATTGTGTATTTTCTTCACTCCAAACTGTATCAACATCTTCGTCATCTCTGTCATTTCCCCTTTTCTTGTTTTTTTCTGCTCCACTGTTAGTTTTTGTCTGCATAATTTAATAAAATTATTTGCTATGTCATTTTAGTGCATTTATGATGTTATATTGTATGGCAGAATGCAACTATTGCCATTTTTTTGGCAATTATGGTGTTGTATTACCTTTTCATTTTCTTTAGAACCACTTCTGTTCAACCTCGCTTCTTCTTCCTTATCATTGCTCTTCTCCTATAACAAACAATCATTTCTTCTCAATTATATATTAAATACAATTATATATATTTAAATCTAATGGAAATTTAATTGCTTTTTTCTCAATTATATATTAAATACAATTGTTTCACATGACAAAATATGACATGTATTACCTGGACCTCTTCTTGGGTATCTCCTACAGTGCTTTTACTTCCATTGCCAGCTGTGGCTATCTGTTCATCATTCTTATTCTTGTCCTATAATACACATGTCATGCATAGAAACCAATGAACAATATAAACTTGAAATTAATTAATTTATGATTACCAAATCAATATTTTGCTGTAAGACCCCTTCATTCTCACTGCTTCCACTTTCTTCTGTTTCTGCTTCCATATTTGATATTTTAAAACCGGGTCCACTGCAAGGTGTGGGGATGACTACATTGTCTGTTGCCTCATCCTGGACTTGTGGTTGTTTTGGTGGTTCTTCATTTGTTGCTTCTGCATCAAGTCCATTGTTGTTGATACTTTCAGTCTGCTTTTCACTTCCAGCCTTGTTGCCATCTATCAGTTCTTCAGCTCTAGATGCCTTTCCTTCTGTATTCATCTTCTTCACGTTCTTTGAAAGTTCCTTCATCAAACGAATCAGCTTAGTTAGCATCACCTCCTGTTTGTTTTGCTTGTTCTTCAAATCCCTTAACTCTGCCATCATCTTGAAATTTTGTTTTACTTGTTGGTCAAATCTCCTCAGCATCATTTTCTTCACTCCCCTCTTGGAAATCTCTTCTTCACTTTCCTCATCACTCTCATCTTCATCAGTTTCCTTTGACGCTTTCCTTTTAGTTGCTTTAGAGCTGCACTCTGGTTTGTCTTTCTGTGTTTTCCCCTTTGTGCTTGCAAACTTACCCTTTTTGGTGTTAACTGGAACTTCTTTTGTTCTCAGTTTGCCCTTTCCCTTTGCTGCCACTTGTTTATTCTTCCTCTTTTCTTTACCATCTGCTTTAATCACCTCCAGTAATCCTAGTTCTTCATCTAGTAACCTTGCTTCAGCAACACCTTGAATATTTTCCATCTCTTGTGCAGTTGGCACTATGCTCTTCCACTCAAACTGTAAACACAAAGCACAAATATTTCTACATTACAGATTTCTTCATTTATTAAGGATATGTAAATTTAAAAACATATAAATTTCAATTACCTCATCGTTATCAAATATAAGGTCACAGAAGATTTCCATGGATGGTTTTTTCTGGAAAGCCCATTTCAGTGTTCTTGGGATCACATTTTCTCTGCCTTCAATAATGCTGCACAGCCCTTTGTTAGCTAAAATTGGGAATGTTTCAAAAGCCCAGATTTGAAGTACATGCATGCATCCTGGGAATGCAACTCTATTTCCTCCACACACATTCAGTGCCTGTGCACTTCTATTGATGTTTGTAACCAAGTCCTCCCACACATCATCCCCCCAAGGATATACGTTGAAGGCTTCAATATCATGGACTAACTTTATGTACTTTGCTGGTAATGGTCTAGACATTTGGTGTCCCAGTAAACCATGTGCTAGCACATAAAGCAGTGCTAACTTCAAACCATCTTCCTTTTCTATGTGTGGATCACCATGGTTATAAGCCTCCAGAGCACTTATCACATCTTGTCTTGTAATTACTTGCTTATTGCCAAAATGCCTTCTACAGAAATTTCCTTGTAACTGAATATCGCCTTGTAACTGAACATTTCCTATCGTTCTGTCACCACCAACCTTCAGTCCTAGCAGCAACGCCATATCTGATCTGGTAAAACTTATTACACTGCTTCCTATGTGAAACCTTATCACACTAGTTTCAGCAATGTTGTTAAATTCCTCAATATAGCTCCCTGCAAGTGCTATGCACAACTGCCCACTCAACCTTGGCATCTGTTCAATGTCAAGCATCCATCCAAAAACTGTGTTTTTGAATGCTATTAATTCCTCTTCACTCAGTTGCCCTTTGATTTTTTTTGCTACTTCACTTAGATTGCTATTGGCATTTAGCCTCAATTTGTCCAAACTTCTAAGCAGTCCAGTTTCACAAGTGCGACTGATAGTCTGTTTTTAAACAAATTTTATTACTATTAAGTATTTCCATTCATTCAAAACAAAATCACAATTTGAACATTTGGCACTCTTAGCTTACACATGGTTATTGTAAAACATTGCCTAATTACACATTTGAAACACTAATATTTGGAACTTTTGCATGATTGAGATAGTCTAAAACATAGCAATATTAGAAATCATTGAGGTACTCAATAACTTTTATTTTTCAGTAAACATTTGATAACAGTTTTTTTCAGTAAACATTCTACAACTCTAACATTTGTCAGTTTTTGCCACATTACAGTTAGTTTGCCATAATACTTCTTATTCAACACATTGACTATGTCATGACACATCTTTCAATTCTATATTTGGCAATGATTTCAAAATACAGGTAGTTTGACACAATAATTCTTCTTCAAGTCACTGACTTTGTGATGACACATCTTTCAACCCTAATAATTGTCAAATTTTTCCATAGTATAGTTAATTTGACAGACTTCTTGTTCTTCAAGTCATTGAGTCTGTAATGACACACTTTGTACACCTAACATTTGTCAGTTTTTGCCACATTACAGTTAATTTGCCATAATACTTCTTATTCAACACATTGACTATGTCATGACACATCTTTCAATTCTATATTTGGCAATGATTTCAAAATACAGGTAGTTTGACACAATAATTCTTCTTCATGTCACTGACTTTGTGATGACACATCTTTCAACCCTAATAATTGTCAAATTTTTCCATAGTATAGTTAATTTGACAGACTTCTTGTTCTTCAAGTCATTGAGTCTGTAATGACACACTTTGTACACCTAACATTTGTCAGTTTTTGCCACATTACAGTTAATTTGCCATAATACTTCTTATTCAACACATTGACTCTGTCAAGACACACCTTGTACACATAATATTTGCCATATTTTCATAATTCACCCATACTCATAGAATATATTATTATTCATACTTTGGCAACATTAACATTGGCAACTTTTGCCCTAATTTAAATACTATAAAACATGATTTAAGTATTACAAAGTGAATTGACAATAACTCTCTCAAATCAGTGACATTAATACACTTATTACACATAGAATATAAACATTACAGACAACTTTACAACACCTACACAATACATAGCACGACATGCACACAACTTTCATTACATTTGCACTTTCTATTGTCAATGATGATTTAAACATTACAAAATTCATAAATGGACATGGTTAACATCGCTTTAACACTTATATTTCTTCTATAGTGAGTACAACATACCACTTCGTTGTTGATTCTGACTTTTTGGCCATGTGATTGAAAATCCGAATCAGCCATGATATCTGCTGTTCTTATCGCGAAGTTTGTCCTTCTTCAGGCAAATATCGTCCTTCTGGCCAAGTTTTACTCTGTAATCGTCACTTCGTTCTCTCTATGGCCAAGTGTTGTCAGTTTCTCTCGAGTGTTGTGCGCGGTTGGTTGTGTTCTCCAGGTTCGCGCTTTAATGGAGGCAGTTGTTATTTTACGCGAATGGGAGATGTTTTGCCGGCTTCCCGTTCTTTTTTTTTTAAATCTTGCTTTACCTGTGTAGCCGGTTACTTCCACCTGCTCAGCACGTCCGCAGCACGCGTGATTCCAAAACGGTAATACCTTTAGCTTCATTAAGGGCATTATGGTCACTTGCATATAATTTCCGTGTCAAACGTGGTTGACCAAGTAGGACTCCTATTTTGGAATAGGTTCTATGTTGTACTCCTATATTGGTAATTTTCTCGCTCCACCCTTCCCTCATTTCACCCTTCTAAACAATTCTTCTCTCTAACCGCCCTACCTCTGTATAAAAACAGATCGCGTCATTCTCAAAACAATCAAAAAGGAATTTCCAGTCATTACCGGAGTGAGCACCTCTGATTCAAGGCACTGATCTTGGCCCCTCTCTTGATTTTCTTTAATTTAATTTTTCCTTTCTTGATCATATTTTCGTTGCGTGCCTCTGAGATATATATGATTGTTGTGTTGTATTGTTTCTGTTAAATATAATACTCCGTATAATGCAGTTTCGAAAATGCCCATTTGTTTAATTTCCTGTAGATATTAATTAATGTTTGATGCATCTATGAATAAAAGCCTGAAACTTTATGTGCGGGTTTGGTGAATAATGGCGTAATAGGTGTAAAGTTGGGGTGGGTTTCCAGGAGAAGAGAGATTCGAGGAGTAGTTTGGAAGCTTGAAGTGATCAGAAGCATAATATGTAAGGAAATGGTGACTACTGCATTTAGAAAGATTGTATACCCTTGTTGGAGGCCTTCAATTGAGGACGAAGGCCAAGACTGGAGCAATAGAGGTGGGGACCCGAATGGCCAGGTTGATGGGCTATTGTGGTATAAGGATTTAGGGAATCATGTCAATGGGCAATTCTCTATGGCTGTAATTCAAGCAAACACTGTACTGGAGGATCAGAGCCAGCTGGAATCTGGTCCGATGAGCTCGGTTGAAACGGGCCCACAAGGGACATTTGTGGGAGTTTATGATGGTCATGCCGGTCCTGAGGCTGCCCGCTTCATATGTGATCACCTTTTCAACAACATCAAGAGTATGTTTTCCTTAACACTGTGTCCTTGCGTCTAATCTCAATTTCCTTGTATGCCAAACCATTTGCAAGTTGTTGCATAAAAAGAGGACTGTCTATTAATCTGAAGGAACAAAAGGAGGACATGGTTTTAATTGCAAATATGTATGCTGCCCAATCTAACTATTATGTGTTAAAGTAAAGTGCATATGAAGTCCTAGTTAAATTGCAAATTCACATTTAATATTTTTAAATGTTGCTTTTTATATTGGGAAAATGTTTTTGAAAGTACCCATCTACTGAAAATGAAATCGTCCTGAAAGACCTTTAATGCTAGGAAAGAAAACATGGAGGAAAATAGAGTGGAAATTAGGAAGGAAATAAAACATAGAGGGGGAGGGAGAAACAAAGATAATTGGTTTGAAGTCTCCAACTCCATAAATCCAGTTTAGACATTTGTTCAAAGTAATTTAGGGAAAATCGCACTTTTAGTCCCTGAAATAGTCACGAAAATGAAATGTCGGACCCGTATTTCTAAGTTTGTAAATGCCGTCCCTCAATTGTCCTAAATGCTGTAAATGTGGTCCTATGAGTGGTGAAATATACAATGTGGGTGAGAGCACATTTCACCCCTTAAAGGACCACATTTACAACAATTTGGACAATTGAGGGGTGACATTTACAATATTAGAAATATGGGTCTGACATTTCATTTTCGCGACTATTTCAGGGACCAAAAGTGCGATTTTCCCATTTATATATTTATGTTATCAAATAAAGACTAAAAACTAAAAAACTAGGCATCTCCAAGGTAAAACCAAACATACAAAGTATTTCTTTCCTCTCACAGCTGTTTTTCTAGTCCAACATAGCCCTGGATTTTTAAAATGCTATTTCGTCACTGCCAATAGGCCTTTTTGGCTGTGACTTACTTGATAGGGTAATTATGATGCAGAATTTACCACACAAAATCAAGAAATGTCAGCAGAGACGATAAGCAAAGCATATTTAGAAACAGAAGAGGAGTTTCTTTCCTTAGTGAGAAAGCAATGGCTCATGAAACCCCAAATCGCTTCAGTGGGGTCATGCTGTTTGGTTGGCATAATATGCAACGGCATGTTGTACATTGCAAATGCCGGAGATTCCCGTGCAGTATTAGGAAAAGTTGAGAAACACACGAAAGATGTTAAAGCCGTTCAGTTGTCATACGAACACAATGCAAATCTGGAATCCGTTAGAGATGAACTAAAGTTGTTGCATCCCGATGATCCACAGATAGTTGTTCTAAAGCACAAGGTTTGGCGCGTCAAGGGGCTTATACAGGTGACTTATCTGGAACATCTTTCCATTTTTAGTAGTACTAAAGACATCAAGGAGCGCGATAGCGTAACCTTATACTACACACTCCCTCCTTTTTTTTAGTCGAGCCCATAGGCTTTTCACAGAATCTAAGAGTGAAGTTGCATGGGTAGTGAATAGTAAGAGAGAATAGATTAAAAGCTAAAACAAGTAGAAAAGATGAAAGGAAAAAGTAAATATATTTGTGTATTTGATATGATGGCTGTTGCCAAAAAATGGAAGTGCAGCAACTCTTAATAGACTTCTATTGAAGGAATATGGAGCAACTAAATAAAACAGAGGGAGTATTATTATCTCAATTTAAAATTCACGTGCTATTTTTAGATTGATGCTAGATTCATGATCTTATTTTTTCATTTTTAATTTTAATTAATTATAACAGCTGTTCTTTCCCTTTTATATTGTTATTTGTTAGGTTCCTTGTTTATTATACCTATGTCATTATTACCCCATCAGCATCACCATCATTCTTATTCTCTCTATTCTTATTTTGCTCTTATTTTGGTTGTTTTCGTACATATTTAAGTAATAGTTTTTTATAAAGGTAAAATTACTGTAATATGAGCCATATGATTCAGATATGCCTATTAACGTTTTATTGCATTACTTTTCATTTATGGATAGAGAAGGGTAGCGGTGGAAAATGAGCAATTAATGCCCTCTAGTGATATTATAGAGTGGCAGTTATGAGTTATTTGAGAACAAAGTTTTGTCTTTAAAGCGATAGTCATAAAAGAACGGATGGAGTATGAATTCACACAATAGTGTAAAGTGTGTCGCTATTTTCATGAATTCAACAAGGAATTCTGGTTTGCAGATATCAAGATCAATAGGTGATGCATATTTCAAAAGATGGGAGTTCAACAGGGAGCCTTTGTTGCCAAAGTTTAGGGTAACTGAACCCTTCCATACCCCAATCCTTAAAGCCGAGCCGTCCATACATGTCCATAAAGTCCTCCCTGAAGATCAGTTTCTTATACTTGCATCGGACGGCTTATGGGAGCATCTTACCAACCAAGAGGCAGTTGAAATTGTCAACTCTTCCCCGCGCAATGTATGTTTGTCTCTTCTTTCTCTATATATGGCCAATGATGTGGGTGGGTCCTGGAGAGACGGTTAGAGAAGAGTTAATGAAATGACATCATTATCTCAACTATATCTCTAAATGTCTCACCTTCATTTTTATTCACTTAGGGTGGATTTGAAACAATTTTCTTATTTCTTGAACTTTTCCATAACCCTTTCTATATACAGTCACACAATTACACAATTCACACACACATATATTAATATATGTATAAGAACTTTTGATCTCCAAATTTTAATTTTCTAACCAGTGGCTAATAGTCATAATGTGATATAATTGTAATTATTATAAAATAATTTTGAAAAAGCATTTATTTGAAGTTCAAATAATCACAAAATGCCATCATATAAGTATTTACCATTGATTTGAAAAATAAAAAGGTGACGACTATAAGTCCTCACGCTCTTATGCTTATCATAAGGTGCGTTCTCATATGAACCCTCCTCATATATGTATAATACATCGGTCTCAAAGTTTAAGTTCTTTTTTATTATTCATTTATTCCAGTAGTAATCTTTACCCGTTTTTACTATTTGCATAAGGTATGTCACACTATTATCATTATATCATATTCCAAATCAATTTTTGACAATTTATTTTTTAGTGTAATTTATAAAAATTTAATTTTAAGGAACCTAATTTTAATGAATACTATTTTGAGCATTGTCAGTGAAGAGTTGATTTAATCATCGATCAAACATTGTAAACTGAAACAAATACTATGTATTTGACTATTTGTTTTTGGGATGGAGGGGAGTATATAGTGTTTTTGGAAGTTTGGAACTCGGAACATGCAAAAGGGAAAAAATCAGGTAGTAAATATATCTGAAATTTGGAGGGAGAGAAAATATAAGAAAAATAATGTGTTCAAACTCAATAAATCATGTTATGATATATAATCTCCCTGTTTCTCTCTCTCTCTCTCTCTCTCTCTCTCTCTATATATATATATATATATATATATATATATATATATATATATCTTACATGAAGACTATGAAATCTCTCCACATGTATGCGTGTGTGTCTATGTTAGATTTAATTGTTTAATGTAAGTTGATTTTCCTTCACATTTTCTATTGTAAAACCAACCATTTAAAAATCAATCTCCCCTCCCACCAACCGCTAAACACGCCCTTTAATTCTAATTTCTTCATTTCATGGATAAACACTGTGTACTTGAGAAATTAATGCTCCATAGAATTCAAACATTTTGCTGTTTGTGAAGGGTGTTGCTAGAAAACTTGTGAAAGCTGCACTTCATGAAGCAGCAAAGAAGCGAGAAATGAGATACTCAGACTTGAAAGATATAGACAGGGGCGTGAGGAGACATTTTCACGACGATATCACAGTTATTGTTTTGTTCCTAGACAACCATTTGATTAATCGGACTTCCACCCACGGGCAAGTGCTTTCAATTAAAGGAGGCGGAGGTACTTCTTTAGTTGCCGCGGGATAGTTTATTCTTTTCTAAGAAAAAATAATCTTGTCATACATTTATCATGAAAATCTTTTGAGGAGAATATACAATTGGGGAATTGTATATGTATAGGCTAGTTTATGTTCAACACATTGAACTAAGGCGGAGTTCAGCTATGTATGGGTGAGGGGCATGGATTTAATGGATGGAGGTGGTGGTGGTTCAATTTTGATGAGAAAAAAATGCTCAGGACTTCTTTTTCAGAGTAAACTTTGAATTACTTCGTAATTTCGTATTGTTTATTCTTTTACCTGCACTCAATAATATAGTCACATTCTCCAGTTTTCCTTTATGGACCTTCTAAATGTGTCATCTTTGTTATTGTTGCTTGATGTTTCAATTTCACGGAATTATATGAGAGTATGAGACTCTATTTTGAGGTACCATCACAAATGTTAGAAAAGCAATGTTATTCTCTTAAACATAAGCCTATTTACTTGGTAGTTACTAGTTACTACTATCTATTGTGTTTAATTTTATTATTGTTGAACTGATAAAGTAAGAATGATTTAAAATAAAAAATCACACAGATTTTACCAAAATTTGAAACAAATTTAGTATGACTTATAAAAAGGAAGATGAGACAATTTTAACTTGATGACATAGGGATTTCATGGAAATGCAGAGTAATTTTGTAGGGAAGAGTAGATATAAATGAAATATTGGAAATGAAAGGTGAACATGTATGACTCTGAGTAATAAAGATATAAGTGGGAAAAGAGTAGTTAAGTAGAAAGTGGAGACGTGGAGACGGTGGAGTACTAATAATATACGGAGTAGTTTCATAAAATGGAAGGGGAGTAAAATGATTTTCATAAAATCGGAGCAAGTAAAATGAACCGAGTGAATATAAAATGCATTACCTAGACTCCTAGAGTGGATTTTGGAAGCCAGGCAAATGTTTGATCAAGATTTTAGTCAAACATTTGTTCTCCATAAGGACCATAAGTGATAAGAATGTCGCCCAAGGTGCCTGTGGGATGAACCATCTTGATTAATGATTATACTAAAGTGTTATTGTATTTTTTTAATATTGCTTAATTTGAGTTTGATATGATTCAGGATAATATTTTAAAAGAATATTATAACAATAAAAGGCCATGTTTGGCAATTAGCGGTTAGGGTTGAATTAGCAATTTTGAATGGTTAATTGATTTAGCGGTTTGGATTGGTTGATTCGGTTAGTCGGTTCTCTTTAAGTGTTTGGTAAAATTAGATGTTAATGATTAACTGTTACAATGTCAAAATTACATGTAACTTTTGTTTGTTTGTTTGTTTGTTTGTGAAATTGATTTAATGATAAACTGCTGAATTATATGGTTATATATATTTTTCAAAAGAAAATTTATAGATATAATAACTAATCTATTTGAAAGGAAAGATAAAGAAATACTATGTACTTAGTTGGGCACAAAGTGGAAAATCTCATCCTAATGAAAAAAAATGTAACACGTAACTATTGATAACACGTAGGGGTGGACTCAGGTCGGGCCGCCCAACCCGGTATTGTTTGGGCCCGGACCGGTTGGTCGGTCTTCGGGCCGGTTCGCGCCTACTGAACCACTCAATTCTCAGGGCGGGCTCGGGCCTCCTAAAAGTGGAACCGGCCCGGCCGGTCTGGGCCTAGTTCGGGCCATTTTTTTTTTCTTTCAATTTTTTTTTGTTTCTACTGGGTTGGGCTGGGTGTTTTGGGGGCTTTGGGGGGTGGGGGTGAAGGGGGGGGGGGGGTTAATTACAAAAGCAAAAAAAAAACAAAAAAAAACATTAAACCGGAATCGGCCCGGCCCGGACCAAAACTGTTGTCTACCCAGGCCGGTTCCGGTTCTCTCTTCCCAGAGAAAAAGCCCGGCTAGGCCAAGGCTCGAACCGGAACCGGTCCGGCCCGGGTCCATCCCTAATATTAACACGCAACTACTGAATGTAAGAGTTGAGCTTTAATTTAATTTGCAAAGTGGACAATCTCTTCCAAAACGCTGCACATAGTTAGCGCTTTGGAGTAAAAAAGTTGTTCTAAAAATCTACTCCGTGTTTAGTTAGCTTTTGGAGTAAAACAGTTGTTCTAAAAATCTACTCCGTATTTAGTTAGCTTTTGGAGTAAAAAAGTTGTTCTAAAAATCTACTCCGTTAGTTAGCTTTTGGAGTAAAAAAACTGTTCTAAAAAACTGTTTATCAAAAGTATGTTTAATAAATAAATTAAATGTTCCCCAACATTTAACGCTTACGCACCCAATCCATCCGACTTTCGGACAAAAAAAAAGCAATTTGCCGAAAGTATGTTTTCACTAGTCAAAAAATGCTAAGACTAAGTTCCGTGTGCACAATTCAGCTCATGCTAGGTTGAAATTCTTTATTTTCAGTCAATAGTAGCTAAAGCAGCATCGTTTGCACAACAAGCTATATTGAGCTGGAGCTGAAAAATACACACAAGAAAAAAACGCTTCCCAAGCTAGCATTGGAGTTCAGTCCTTCATATAATAAAATTTCGCTTCTTGAACTTAATAGACTAGGAGCATTTATGTATTTTAAACATTATTCTCTTATTATAAATATACCTGCTAGGGCTCCTTAGAGGGCAACCTATTCCATTATCTCACATGGTATCACGAGCTACGGTTCAAACCTAAATATTTTTTCCAGCTTTTCTCTTTCCTAGGGATTGCCGCATCCTGCTTTCTGCGCGTAAGCCTCTACCGCCATAGCTATTGCCGCAACTTCATCCAACATTGCAACAACCTCTTCTCCGGCTAGCACAACATGCAACGCTCCTATCTCTGTCTCGACGATCGGCACACCACTCTCTACTGGTTCGCAGCCTCCAGTGCGTATGCCCGGTACTGCTTCTCTTTCGGCCTCCTCTTTCGCTACACCGTCGAGAAGCCAGACGCCGACCTATAGTCTCTTTCAGAATATGCCACCAATCTTCCCATGGTCAGCGCCGTCTCCAGTCACGCCTGTGTCCTTGGAACCGCCGCCACAGTTCTCTGCCCCACCTGCTATCCAATTTTCGGGACCCACTTTTGTGGGCTCGCCAGGGAGTTCTGCTTCTGTATCTGCTACCTGGCCTGGACCAACACCCACCACACCTTCTTCTATGGCAGATTTAGCTCAGTCTCTGTCTCACGTGGCCACCAACGTCACTAACATTGTGACAACCAAATTGCAAGCCGTTGAAGATTATGCCACGTGGCGCACCCAGTTCGAGTCCTTCCTTGTATCTCAAGGTCTTCTTGGTATGGTTGATGGCTCAATTCAGGTACCTTCTGTTTATTCCATAGATCTCTACAATCGTCAAATCCCTAATCCCGAGTATTCATCGTGGTTGCGAATTGATCAAACTATTCGTTCGTGGTTGTTTGCAACATTATCCCGTGATGTTCTTATTGATGTTCATGATTTGAAACACTCTTTTGGGATTTGGGAACGGTTGGATTTAAGATTCATGTCTGCTAGTTTAGCCAGGTCTATGGAATTAAAAGTTAAAACATATGTTGAACACTATTTGGAAAAAGCCTGATCAATCTATGGATAGCTATTTACGGGAAATTAAAATTTTGGTCGATGATCTTGCTTGCATTAACTGTCCTGTTCCTCATCCTGAAGTGCTCAAATCTACTATAATGGGGTTGGGTAAGGAGTATGCGTCCATGATCAATATTGTTTCTTTGTTTCCCCAAAATTTCCCTTTTGAGACCCTTCAGAACCATCTAATTGAGCTGGACCAGCGAGACCAATACTTTCAGCAACAAGAGGTGTCAGCCACTCATCAGGCCTTTACAGAACAGGGCTCACAGAAGCCTGATCCTCCGCATCCTCCGGGCTTTGTTCCTCGCGGCCGAGGTGGCTGGGGCCGTGGGGGGTCGTGGCGGTCGTGGCGGTCGTGGCAGATTTCCACACGGCCAGCAGGGCTATGAACAGCCGGGTTATTTGATGCCACACGGGTATGGTTCACTGCCTGGACAGTTCCCGGGTGGTACTTCCTCAGCAGCAACTCACGGCCACCAGGCAGGGGGTGCTCCGACGTCGTATACTCCCACTACATGTACTGTATTAAGTAATTCTCCTGTGTCACATTTAAATATTAATGCCTTATCTGTATGTGCTACTAACTATGGATCTGCAGGCTTTCCATCAGATGGGGGTATTCTGGGATCAGTCCCACCTCCTATTGTGTGTCAAATTTGTTTCTCTACAGGTCACTCGGCAATTGCCTGTCCTTCCCTTTTTTCTCAACCATCTGCACCAGCACTAATGACTAATTCGAGAGAAACTAATTTAGTTTTGTGGTATCTCGACTCGGGAGCTTCCGCTCATATGACGGCATCAGAAGGTACTTTGCTAAATAAATCTGCTTATTCTGGCTCTACTTCTATTAGTGTTGCTAATGGTGAACAACTTTCTATTTGTCATGTTGGTGATGTGTCCATACCATCGCCTAGCCGCCCTTTAATTTTAAAATTTGTTTATCATGTGCCTCAGTTAAAATTTAATTTAATTTCTATTAAAAAATTATGTGCTGATAACAATTGTGTCGTAATTTTTGATAAAAATTCATTTTTGTTAAGGACAAAATCTCGGGGGCAGTGCTTCTACAAGCTTCCAGTAATGGACCACTCTATCCTATCAGTCTGCCATCTTCCTCTCCACTAGCCTTAGCATCTATGTCTGCTTCGGGTCCAGTCTGCCATCGTAGATTACGTCACTGCGGTGAAAAAGTTTTGCATTTTCTTAGAAAAAATAAATCTTTATGTAATAGCTCTAGCTTTACTCATGATTGTGTTGCTTTCCGTTTAGGAAAATCACAACGTTTGCCCTTTTATGATGTTAATCATAACTGTCTTTCCCCTTTACAATTAATTCATTCTGATGTGTGACAGTTTCCTGTATCCTCAAACTTGGGATTTAAATATTATGTGTCATTTATTAACGATTATTCCCGCTTTACTTGAATTTACCCTATGCATCGCAAGGGTGAAGTTTTTACGCACTTTAAAAATTTTAAATTTTTGGTTGAAAATTTTTTAATCATAAAATTAAAATTTTTCAAAGTGATGGAGGGGGTGAATTTGTTAATCAGCAATTTTTTTAATTCTCAAGGCATTTATTTTCAAAAATCTTGCCCTGATACACCTCAGCAGAATGGCGTCGCTGAGCGTAAACATAGACATCTCCTTGAACTCACTCGCACCATGCTTCTTGAAGCTTCGGTTCCAAGTCATTTTTGGGTAGATGCCCTCTATACGGCTGCATACATTATTAACCGATTACCATCTCCTCTACTTAATGGTCTTTCTCCGTTCCAAAATCTTTTTGGGAAAGTTCCTGATTATTACTCTTTCATGCGGGTGTTTGGGACTGCATGTTATCCCAATTTTTCTGCC